TGTTGGGGGCAATATGCTGACTCTGTAAACCGCTTAGAGAGGGCTGAAAGCCCTATGAAGCGGTATATAAGTCTAACTGCTATTGCTATTAACCCCAAATTGCAACAGACTGATCTAGAAGGTTTTTCAAATCAATTTGGAATTAGGCAATAAGTTTCAGAGAGAAAGTAAGCTATGGATTTCACCTAAGTCTGCTCTTATCCCAAACATCTCAAATTGGACAATCCTTTAAAATCAGAACGAACAAGTTCTGCAACCCCAAAACATTTGAGAACCTGTTTTAAGTAACCACAGAGTGAAGCGAGCATTGAAGGGAATAATACAGCATATTTGTTGCTTTGCCTATTGAGAGAACCCATTTCGATATGCTGACTCTCCTTTTCCATCAATATAATTCTGCCTTTGGGTATATGATGAAACAAGATTCATGTTCAGGTCTGTTTAATCTTATAATGTGCTTTGCAACCCTTTATCCCAGCGGTATCTGAATGTCTTAAAACCAAAAATCCTCCTGATCCTTCTGAGAAAACATGAGCAACTAAAAAGGGATGACAACAGTACCACCTGAATTGACCTCAAGCACAATATAATTAGCTATTAATCTAAATTGTAAAGAAGAGTCACAATTCATATGTTCCTGAATATTTTTCCCTAACCTAAAGCTTCAAAAAAAAATCATCCCCAATTTAAGCAAATTTTATTTATTAATCACATTTTGGAAATGCCTAACTTCCTCATAGACTGGGATCATAAAAGATGCACATAATGTTTGTTCTTTCCTTATTCCACAACTCATTCCATACTCTACTACACAAAGAAAAAACACTCCTGGGTCAAAACAACTTCTGAAATACAAGTTCATCAAACATTTGATTTGACTCTATGCTTTGTAAACGACACTTAACGCCCAAACTGGAAGTTACATTCGATAATTATTGCTTGTATGCTCTTCATTATTAGCATGGGTGTTTGTGTTTAATTGTTGATTGTGCTGTGGTTTTGTTGCTACACTTTGTCTATTTTTAGAAAACAGCCTGAAAACATGTGGGTGTTTTATTTTATTTTATTTATTTTTGGCAGGGTTTTTTTATTTTATTTTGGAAGGCAGAGTATAAATTCATAAAAATAAGCAATGGTTTTTAGTTCAACAAAATAAGAATCTCCTAAGCAGATAGATAGAAGGAAATGAGAGGGAAATAGGCACAGCAATGAATCAGTTCTGAGTCGGAAATGCAGGGAGTAAGTTCAATGAAAGAAAAAGCAAATTATCTTTTGCATCTGTCTTACTTGGCAATAAATTAACTTCCTCTACAGAGTAATTCTGAAAAGCGCATGGGTTTATGATGACCACCAAGCAATGATTTGTGACAATGGTTACCAAAAATATCTTTTCCCACCCAAAACATTAATGAAATGAGTGAAAATGAAAATGTTTGACCAGCACAAACCAAACAATGAAATAAGCTTGCTGGATGAATGCAAAGAATTATAACGTAGCAAAGGTACTGAAAACTGTAAGCGAACATGATTTAAATCAGAGTTTTGTGATATTACGCACATTTGCTTGAAAAGCACACAAACCTACCTGGCTTTGGTACAGAATTGGTCACTGACTGAGGGACTTTGTCGTTAATCAGTTCAACGCATTCACTAGGAAAGAATCCCACCTATAGTGACATATGAAGATAGAAAGAAAAAAGAGAGCTTGTGTCTACAGGGCATTTAAACAATTTCAACAGAATCATGGAATAAGGATACAGCCAGATGATTTTCAAGAAAGCGATTATTCCAAATCTCTAGACAGTTTTAGTAAAAAGAGCATTCTTCCCCTGCTTTATATGTGAATAGAGCAGGAGTTTGCTAGCCTGGATTTCATTTTACTCTAGCTATTTTGTCTGTCCACAGTATCTGAAGACAGAGACATATTACTCTTTCAAGAATTATACATTTGACTTGAGTTCATTGGAATCAGACAAAAGGTTTAAAGAAAAAAATCAGGCATTCATATTTTCTACAGGTTTCGAAGGATTAAAATAGCATTATGAATTCTCCAAGATGTTTTTTTCAAAAGGCAACTGGACTTTGTTTATCCTTGAAGACATTTCACTTCTCATCCAAGAAGCTGGTCAGAACTGAAGAATCGAAATGTCTTCAAGGAAAAACGAAGTCCAGTTGCGTCTTGAAAAATGATCGAGAATCTCTGTAGACAGTATGAATTCTCCTTCTCTTCCATTTTCTCTTACCCTGACATTGATCAGGAGCAGTGGTGGGTTCCTGCCAGTTCTAACCTCTTCGATAGAAGAGGTTCCACAAACCTACAGTGCCGTTTGGAACCGGTTCCAGCTCCCTCGCCCCGCCCATCCGCACATCATCAAGATGAAGAGCGAGAGGAGGAATTCTGGGAGTTGAAGTCCACAAGTCTTAAAGCTGTCAAGTTTTGAACACCCCTGGGGTTTTTTTTCTGAAGGATTAGGGGTGCAAGGGTCTTGAAACTTTACAAGACAGCTTTAAGACTTGCGTGTTTCAAATACCAGAGTTTCTGAGCCAACATTTTGGTTGCTAAGCANCTTCCTTCCTAGTGCCTATCTCTTTCCACTTATGACTATTACCATGTTGCTTGTATCTTTAAAATGTATATTGTTTTGTTTCCTAGTATAATTTGATTGCTTATTAGTAACCTATGACTATCACTAAGCGTTGTATCTTATGATTCTTGATGAATGTATTCTATTTTTCTTTATGAACACTGAGACTATATGCACCAAAGACAAATTCCTTGTGTGTCCAATCACACTTGGCCAATAAAGAATTCTATTCTATTCGTATGTTTTAACCTCCAGGTCCTAGTTACTCTTCTGTGCACTTTTTTTCAAAGTCTCAACATATATTTATGTAATGTGGTGACCAAAACTGGATGCAGTATTCCAGGTGTGGTCAATACTGCATATTATGTGTATTGCTAACTGATAACTGCCAGGACTGTAAATAACAAGAACACAAATAAAATTCAAGACTAATGAAGGACACCACGATTAATCAGCTAAAATGGTTAAAACCATCTTTCTGTTAAAATCGGGAGAACTTTAAACAGTCCTCTCTAGAAAGTTTAAAAAAAAAAAACAGAGAAAATTTCGTAGCAATAAAAGTGTTAAGAGAATGAGATGGACTAGAAAAAAACACCTGTCAGACTCTGGCAGATGAAAAAGAAGGTAAAAGTATATTCTGTAATTGGAAATACATTTCAGAAGACCTGCTATGATTAACCACTAGGTATATCTCAGGGCCTGAGCTTCAGGGAAATGCAGACTATTGTAGCTGAAATTCACCACCTAGCACAGATTTTCGAGTTCTCTGCCCTATAGTACAAAAGATTAAAATTCGTAAACCTCTAAAGCTGTTTTCTGCTTCCAGCATGAACTGTGCAAAACATACATTTTTAAGGTCCTTTGAGGTTTCAGCTTCATTTTATCATAAAACCCAACTTCCCCCCGCCCCCTCTCAAAGTGATGACTTTGTTGTCCTTTCTGAATAAGGGAGCCATGCCTAACTACAGTTATTCCTCAACTTAGGACCACAGTTTGGGGCCAGCATTTCTATTGTTAAACAAGGTGATTGTTAAGAGGGTCACGCCCAATTTTACATTTTTTTCTCGCCACGGTTGTAAAGTGAATCACCGTGATTGTTAAGTGAATCATATGGGTGTTAAACGAATCCGGCTTCCACTGTTGTCTTTGTCAGAAGCCAGCTGGGAAGGTCATCAGTGGTAATCACGTATTCAACACGTACAGTGCCAAGTTATTAATATGTTAGCATGGGTGGCAGAAACATTTTGAGTAAAGCCTGATCCATCATTTCCTGGATACTCCTTAATGTAATTACATTTCTCATTGTATCCAACTGTTGGAAGACATATCCATCTGGATCAGTTCCAAGTGGGGAGAAAGACATTGGAAACATGGAAGCTGATTGCAAAGAGGGCCCATGTACTGATGAAGCAGAGGCACATGCGTGGTTCTGGGCAGCTGACAAAATGGAGTTGAGAGTGAGCGGCTTATATACCTTCTCTTGGGCTTTGCACTTGAGCTTCCTGTTCCTGTGGCAAGAGCATGTATTCTATTGGTTGCTGTCAGACTCACAGGGGGCTACACAGAGATCACAGCTGAGTTTGTTTGTGTGAAGCTGGGAAGGTGATGATGTAATGAAGCGGGTTGTGTTCTGAAAGGGTCCTATTGTGGCTTAATGACTTTGTCCTGATTTGGATCTTGAGTGAGGGCTAATCCCATCACCCTGAGGTCTTTTGTCTTGTAGATAGGATGGCCCAGTCTTTCTCAATGGCCACCAAATATCTGCTGGGGGCAGGGAGCTGGGGCCGAGTTTCTGTCTCCCATAAGATTTCCATTTCTCTTTTAGGGGAAATATAATATTCTGCCTTTTTAATATTTTCTAATATATTTCATTCTTCTGGGAGAGTGTGGCTGCCCACACAACAAAAATAAGTAAGTGATTCCAGGATAAATGGATCCAATTTAGTAGTTACTCAGGTGTTTCCTGAAGCCCAATATTATCTTCACTATTATAAACAGTGGGAAAACGTGGGAGGAAAAAGAACCAGCCAAGTTATCATTCAGCTCATGCATTTTCATAAAATCAAGGGAAGAAGGGTCATATTATTTACCTGACAAGATATTTGTACCAGGTAGACAAGCTCCTTGGACTCACAGCCATTCCTTGTTACTTCATTCTGTTCCTCGGGGAGTGAAAGCTATTGGGGGGTGGGGGGGAGAGAGAAAAAGATACAGAGGGACTTGGTCAATTAACAAAGATAAGCCAAACATATAAAAAGTAGAACATTTAAATCCAATTGCTTCAAAATGCCTTTTTCTATCAAAGAAACAACTATTATAATGTGGGCTGGGTGTTTTGGTTTTGTCTCTATAGATTAGAAACATGCTATACTCTGGTATCAATCCAAAAACGTGCATCTTGTAACATTGAACTTCTTAAAAAGCTAATACTGTTCAAGTAAGTTTTAGAACTTAAAATTCCTAGTCGGGGGAAGTTTTTAGCACTAGGTTCGTAGAAACAGTTCCATGATCCATCACTACTTAAAGCAATCTTCTATCTAGACACCTTAAACATCTTTAAAGATTAAATAATAAAACATTTCCAGATGCCAATATACAGTACTGCAGGCCCAATTGGCAAAGGAAAGCTCAGAACTACATAGGTTGGAAACATGTGGAAGAGGCATTCATCCTGCAGTGGATAAGCAATGGCTAAAATGATGGTGATGGCTGCTCATTAAAGAAATATTAACTGAAGTAGGTTGCTCTCGCTGATCTTGGTTTTGTAAAGTTGGGGAGAAGCAGTGATCTACTGCATAAATATTGTCAGCTTTGAACTGAACCTGGCCTCAGCCATCAGTAACCAATTTAGCCAATTATGGTACTAAATCAAGATGGTGGTTAAGCGGATCCTTGGTGTGATCATACCCAATTTTACAATCTCTTCCCCGACAGTTGCTAAGCGAATGCCACGATCAGTAAGCAAACCCATTGTTCACAATGAGGGTTTGCAGCAAAAACAGGCAGTTAAATGCCCCGTTTTTGGCAAAATCAAAAAATCAAAAAAATATTAAAACACAATCATGTTACCGTGGGTTGCCATAAACGGCTGTAAATGGGGACCGGTTACCAAGCACCCAAAGTGTCTGTATGTGTGAGAGAGGGTGGGGGGAGAGAGAGGGGGGAGAGAGAGGAGGGAAAGAGCCCCTCCCCTAGAGAGGGAGAGAAGGAGAAAGTGAGAAGGAGAGAGGGAGGGAGGAAGGAGGGAGAGAGTACTAGCTAGCTTTGAATCTGGATTATAAGAAGCCAGGGGGAGGTCTGTGGTAATGTCAAACAGTCTCTAAGCAACTGGTCATAAGTCAAGGACTACCTGTATTCATGCACATCGTGTATTATGCAAGTTGCCGTCAACATTACATGCAAGCTGGGGAAACTGAGGATCACAGGAAGCTGCTTTTTATCAAGTCAAATCGCATGTCCTTCTATGCAGGCGCCAATTTCAACTAAGGCTTGTTAATCTTTCTATATGTAGCAACACTTCACTATCAAGCATCCCAATTTTACTGACCGGGACCGATGGAGTTAACACTCAGCAACATCTGAAGAACTGCAAACCCTAATTTATGCAAAAACTGGCTGGATAGCTGCCCCGCTCCTCTCTTATCTGGATCTGTTAAGAGGCTGAATTGCCTTATCTTTCACATGCAAAGCATGTGCTTTAACTGAATCAGAGAGCTGAAGAGCTCTTCCCTGATTTAAAGTTTCCTTTCCCAGATAAGGTCAAGCTCTAGTTGATGACTGGATCCAAACCCACAGCCTGTCAACAGGCTATTATCGTTGTTAACATAGCAAATAAACGCTGATCTGTCCTAACTAGGGAGGACATTATGCAAGACCAAGGCGTGAATGGATGTCCAGCCAGCCATGGATGATTGGGCGCAATGTGTCAAAAAGATTACTGAGATACCAACGGGATTTCGTTACTATGAAGCTGGCCCTAATTTTACGATGTCTCCCTACATTAAAAACAGCCATCTTCTTTGACTGCTTCCTTGTACAAATCCTCCTGGGATTACTTTACTGCAGAGGAAGGACAGTAAAATGTTTAATGCTTTTCAACATTAAAAAAAAAAAGGCAAAAATTCTGACACATCTACAGCGGAGCAAAGCTGTTACTTCTCTCTCCAGGAGAAATGTGGTAATAATCCACGTAGAGGAAACTCCTCTTGGGGAGGGAGGAAAGAATATATATATTTTAAAAAACCCAACATATTTCCTACAAGCAATTTGGAGGGACCAGAAATTTATTAACAGCCCAGGAAAGACTTGTGTAATTTTTGCGGAATTGGCAGCTCAGCTCCAGCCGAAAGACAAGAGCTACACTTACTTACGAGAAACAAATTCCATGCATATTTCTTTTATACTGCAGAAATTTAGAGACACACTACCAGGGGTGGGTTCCTGCCAGTTCTAACCTCTTCTATAGAAGAGGTTCCACAAATCTACAGTGCTGTTTAGAACCGGTTCCAGCTCCCTCCCCCCGCCCGTCCACACATCAAGATGAGGAGTGAGAGCAGGTATTCTGGGAGCTGAAGTCCACAAATCTTAAAGCTGTCAAGTTTGAACAGCCCTGGGGTTTTTTTCCCTAAAGGGTNGAGCATTGTTAAGTGAGTTTCACCACATTTTACAAGATGTCCACGCCCACCCAGTCACATGGCTGGCAAGCCACTCCCACAAAGCAGGCCACACCTACAGAAGAGGTTATAAATTTTTTTTGAAACCAACCACTGATCAGGAGGATTTTCAACCCCACCCCACCCCCAAATTTATACATTGTAAACATATTAAGAGTGTAATTTTTTAGAAGGAGTATCCATCCTCCACAACTTTTAGAGCCTGCAGTATTAACTAACCTAATAGCTGGACATACCTGAAATCCATGTTTCCCCCTCCACCAAGTGGTCAATTCCTTTGGAGGCATATCAATAACAGAAACAATATCCCCAACCTGGAAATTAAGAAATGAGATTATTTTCTCATTGTGACTCAAAACACTATCTGGTTTGATAAAAATGCTTACTTTATCGGGCTGCGAATACAAAATCCTTTAAAATAAAGAGTGCTAGTTCTTGCCTATTAAATATGCACATTTGAATTTAAGTATGTATTATGGGCGCTACACAGCAGACATTTTATTCGTTCGTAGAAAGAAAATGTTGGATAACAGCTAAAAGCCAAAACAGGCTTCTGGTTAAGATGAGGGTGTAGCCACTTTGGAAACGTAAATGTGAATAGAATATTGAACAAACTAATTAAATGTAGTCCGTGACTTAAGTTCAGCCACTTGGTGACCATTTAAAGTTAAAACAGGTCAAATATCCTGGAACATCCTGGATTCAAAATTGTAACAGACACTCCCCACTCATGGTCAACTTGGTCATGTAGTCACATCTTGGTTGTTCAGCAATTAGCCGCATTTATGGCTGTTTGCAGCTTCCCACGGTCATATGACCACAATTTAAACAGTTTTTGCTGAAAACCGACATTTACTTCTGATTCCTTGAAAAAAATGCCCATTGTAGACAATGGGTTTCCTTAATGGCCGTGGTGATTCGCTTAATGACTGCCACAAAGAATGTCACATCAAGTCCATCAAGTGATAACCTGCTTAATGACCGGCAAGATTTATAACCAAATTCCCAGCCTCACTTATGGACATCAGTCAAGGATGACCTCTGCTTAAAATATCTACACTTACCGTACTTCTCAGAATATAAGACACACTTCCCCCCCTCCCCTAAAAGAGAGTGGAAATGTCGATGCGTCTTATATACCGAATACGGCCATTTTCGGGCTCCAAAAATGGGACACACAGAGGGTTTAGGAGGCCTGCAGAGTGCTCCTGGGGGCTGGGAAAGGCAAAAATGGTAAGTATGTGGGGTTTGGGAGGCCAAAAATAGGCCTGTTTTTCACAAAAATGGGACACGCAGAGGGTTTGGGAGACCTGCAGAGGGCTCCTGGGGGCTGGGGAGGACAAAAACTTTTTTTTTCTTGTTTTCCTCTTCGAAACCTTGGTGCGTCTTACACTCCAGTGCCTCCTATAGTCCGAAAAATATGATACTTGTCAATGTGCTTCTTTTTTCTTCAAGTGGGAACGGGACTTTCTGGTTTTTCTTTGAACACGTTTCACTTCCCATCCAAGAAGCTCCTCCTTGGATGAGAAGCGAAACGTCTTCAAAGAACAACCAGTTGTCTCTTGGGAAAAACAAAAACAAAAACTTTGGGACAACCGTGACCTGGATGACTGAGAATCTCCATAAATACTTGTCTATCAGTTTCTCTGCCTCCATTCGTAAAATTAAGTGTAGAATGACAACTTTGTTTTACCAAATTAACAATAGAGCAATGTACTGTACATTTTGTATTTTATATATTGCATGTATTTTATGTATTACATATATTTTAGGTATTACATATGTTTATATTGTATTTTATTTTATATGTTACATATGTAATAAGAAAATGTACTGTTATATAAGCCACATGGAAAGCGGTCAGAGGACCTTTCAAAACGCCTTTGGCCAGTTGAAGAAAACAGAACGGAACGCTGGTTTTCTCGGGGCATGCGCCGAAATAATTACATATTTTTCCTCCCGTTATTTACCTCAAAGGAGAGTTCGTCTGCTGCCTGGGCAATGTATCTCTTGATAACATGAGCAGCTGCAATAGCAGGAACATTAATGGAAGACTCCTCGTGAACTAGGAGGCGATTCCCCTTGTTATCAATCTGCAATGCAAGGTAGAGGGTGAGAAAGCCAAGGACAAGCAGCGTTGAGCAATTAATTTTATTAACAAATTTATAGAGGAGGATTTAGAGTTGTAAAGAAAGTAAAGGGAGCTTCTGCAGGCACTGTGGTACTAAATAAGCACTGTGCAGTACAACCAACTTCTGCCGAAAGTAGAGCTCTATTTTATTGGGGGTTCCACTACTTCACTGGAAGGCAGTTCCAGTTAGTAGTCCCAGTGAGTAGGAGGAGGAGAGATCATTTGAGCTGGCCTCTCCTTTCTGGAATACCCCAGGGCTTCATCCTCTCTTTTCTACTTTTTAACTTTTATAAAGTTGGACCATAAGAAAGGCTGAGTGCCAAAGAATGGACGCCTTTGAACTCTGGTGCTGGAGAAGATGCCTGTGAGTCCCTTGGACTGCAAGGCCATCCANTTCTAACCTCTTCTATAGAAGAGGTTCCACAAATCTACAGTGCCGTTTAGAACCGGTTCCAGCTCCCTCCCCCCGCCCGTCCACACATTATCAAGATGAAGAACGAGAGTAGGAATTCTGGGAGTTGAAGTCCATAAGTCTTAAAGCTGTCAACAGCCTCTGAATGTCAGATGCATACATTCCGTGGAGTGCAGTAAGTCTGGTCTAGGCTTAAGAAATGTTGCGAGTCAGCCCACTATTTGGAATAAAGGAAGGGTAAATTGACATTTATCTGAAGTGGGGATAGGAAGACAACTGTTGGAAGAAATAACCTTCTTGGTTCAGTTCCAAGTGGGGAGAAAGACACTGGAAACATGGCGGCTGTTTGGAAAGATGGTTTTTAAAGGTGCACAGGACCACATGGTTTGAAGATGTTGGGTGCAGAAGAAGAAAAAGGGAAGGGAAGCTGAGAGTGCCTGAGTTTTATACCCTCTCTTGGGCTCCACCTTAGAGTTTCCTGTTCCTGTACAAGAAATGTATCCCATTGGCTATCAGACTCCCAGGGGGTGGGTGTCTTAGCTAAATTTGTGGGTTGTCTGTCTTTTGAGTCCAAGTTTGGTTGGGCCTTGCTGGGTGGTGATGTAATGAAAGGGCTTTGGGATTCCTATTATGGGTCTGCCTGAAGTAGGTAGAACTTTGTTATGTAGAATAGACTGGCTTAGGCCTTAATGACCCATTGACAAAGGTGGGGTGGGGAGGAAGCTGCAGGGAGCTGCTTTGTCTTTAAAACATGTTTCTCCTTTTCTCATTCAGGGAAATATAATATTCTGCCCTCCCAATATTTCCCAGAATATTTCGTTCTTCCAGGAGAGGGGTGGGGGCTAACTTCCTACACAACCTCAAGCAGAAAAGAGAGATGGCTAATTCCTGAGCTGCAGAACAACAATATTGATGGAACTCCACATAAATCAAGCTCCTTTCTTTTAATGTTAAGTGGTGACTCATTGGCAAGGAAACTGCCCCACATGAAAACCGATGCAAACAGAAAGAAATCCTTTTTTTGATGATTGCATTTATTTGCTATCAACTCCCTTCACATCTGGAAAAGTCCCTTCCTTTTCTTATTCCATCTCTTTGGGAAAACAATGAGGGGAGAAGATTGATTTTCCTGGTCAATGTTTACAGTCTTTTGTTTTTCTCGGAAAACTTGACAATTGAGTCTGTTTATGCTTTTTTTAACAGATGCCGGGCAGGGCCACAACCTCCTCCTGGCAACAGCATTTCCTTCCAGCTGGGGCTGGTCAGGGCATTTCTTTTTTAGTCCTTTTTAAAATGGGACTGGCCTCCTTTTAATGTCCACCTGGAGGCGTTTGCTAAATTATAGGCTTAGCTGAAAATGTCTCCAGAGAGTGTTTGTGCCAGGCTAGGAATAAGCAGTTGTGGCCTCCATATTGTGACCTCTTTGCTCTCGCTCACCTACAGTACTGTTTTAAAAATAGGTTTCCTAAACAAGGGATATGTGCATCTTGGCAAAAAGGATTCTTTGCAAGATTCTTTGGGACAATTCAAAGAATATAACTAGTATACTACAAATTGTAGGACGTTAGCACCCACCCCTCTCCTAGAAAAATGAAATATTTTAGGAAATATTAAAAGGGCAGAATATTTCCCCTAAAAGGGAGGCAGAAACTCATCCCCCCCCTTTGTCAGTGGGCCATTAAGGCCTGGGCCAGTCTATTCTACATAACAAAGATCTACCTCCTTTAGGCAGAGCCATAGTAGGAATTGCCCAAAGCCTTTTCATTACATCATCACCCAGCAA